GTCCTAAATGGTATTGCCTAGGTTTTCTTCCAGGGTTTCTACGGTTTTAGGTCTTACGTTTAAGTCTTTAATCCATCGTGAGTTGATTTTTGTTTAAGGTGTAAGGAAGGGGTCCAGCTTCAGTTTTCTGCATATGGCTAGCCAGTTTTCTAAACACCATTTATTATATAGGGAGTCCTTTCTCCATTGCTTGTTTTTGTCAGGTTTGTCAAAGATCAGATGGTTGTAGATGTGTAGTGTTATTTCTGAGGCCTCAGTTCTGTTCCAGTGGTCTATATATCTGTTTTGGTACCAGTACCATGCTGTTTTTGTTACTGTAGCCTTGCAGTATAGTTTGAAGTCAGGTAGCATGATGCCTCCAGCTTTGTTCTGTTTGCTTAGGATTGTCTTGACCCTGCAGGCTCCTTTTTGGTTCCATATGAAATTTAAAGTAGTTTGTTCCAATTCTGTGAATAAAGTCAGTGGTAGCTTGATGGGGATAGCATTGAATGTATACATTACTTTGGGCAGTATGGCCATTTTCATGATATTGATTCTTCCTATCCATGAGTATGGAATGTTTTTCCATTTGTGTCCTCTCTTATTTCCTTGAGCAGTAGTTTGTAGTTCTCCTGGAAGAGGTCCTTCATATCCCTTGTAAGTTGTATTCCTAGGTATTTTATTCTCTTTGTAGCAATTGTGAATGGGAGTTCACTCATGATTTGGCTCTCTGTTTGTCTGTTATTGGTGTATAAGAATACTTGTGGCCGGGCGCGGTGGCTCAAGCCTGTAATCCCAGCACTTTGGGAGGCCGAGACGGGCGGATCATGAGGTCAGGAGATCGAGACCATCCTGGCTAACACGGTGAAACCCCGTCTCTACTAAAAAATACAAAAAACTAGCCGGGCGAGGTGGCGGGCGCCTGTAGTCCCAGCTACTCGGGAGGCTGAGGCAGGAGAATGGCGTAAACCCAGGAGGCGAAGCTTGCAGTGAGCCGAGATCCGGCCACTGCACTCCAGCCTGGGCGACAGAGCAAGACTTCGTCTCAAAAAAAAAAAAAAAGTATACTTGTGATTTTTGCACATTGATTTTGTATCCTGAGACTTTGCTGAAGTTGCTTATCAGCTTAAGGAGATTTTGGGCTGAGACGATGGGGTTTTCTAAATATACAATCATGTCATCTGCAAACAGAGACAATTTGACTTCCTCTTTTCCTGATTGAATACCCCTTATTTCTTTCTGTTGCCTTAATGCCCTGACCAGAACTTACAACATTGCTTTGAATAGGAGAGGTGAGAGAGGGCATCCTTGTCTTGTGCCGGTTTCCAAAGGGAATGCCTGCAGTTTTTGCCCATTCAGTATGATACTGGCTGTGGGTTTGTCATAAATAGCTCTTATTATTTTGAGATATGTTCCATTAGTACCTAGTTTATTGAGAGTTTTTAGTATGAAGGGGTGTTACATTTCATTGAAGGCCTTTTCTGCATCTATTGAGATAATCATGTGGTTTTTGTCATTGGTTCTGTTTATGTGATGGATTATGTTTATTGATTTGCATATGTTGAACCAGCCATGTATCGCAGGGATGAAGCCGACTTGATTGTGGTGGATAAGCTTTTTGATATGCTGCTGGATTCGGTTTGCCAGTATTTTGTTGAGGATTTTCACATCGATGTTCATCAGAGGTATTGGCCTGAAATTTTCTTTATTTGTTGTGTCTCTGCCAGGTTTTGGTATCGGGATGATGATGGCCTCATAAAATGAGTTAGGGAGGATTCCCTCCTTTTCTATTGATTGGAATAGTTTCAGAAGGAATGGTACCAGCTCCTCATTGTACCTTTGGTAGAATTTGGCTTTGAATCTGTCTGGTCCTGGACTTGTTTTGATTGGTAGACTATTAATTACTGCCTCAACTTCAGAACTTTTTATTGGTGTATTCAGGGATTCAACTTCTTCCTTGTTTTGTCTTGGGAGGGTGTATATGTCCAGAAATTTATCCATTTCCTCTAGATTTTCTAGTTTATTTGCATAGAGGTGCTTATAGTATTCTCTGATGGTAGTTTGTATTTCTGTGGGATCAGTGGTGATATCCCCTTTATCATTTTTTATTGCGTCTATTTGATTCTTCTCTCTTTTGTTCTTTATTAGTCTGGATAGTGGTCTGTTTTGTTGATCTTCTCAAAAAATCAGCTCCTGAATTCATTGATATTTTGAAGGGTTTTTCCTGTCTCTGTCTCCTTCAATTCTTCTCTAATCTTAGTTATTTCTTGTCTTCTGCTAGTTTTTGAATTTGTTTGCTCTTGCTTCTCTAGTTCTTTTAATTGTGATGTTACGGTGTCGATTTTAGATGTTTCCTGCTTTCTCTTGTGGGCATTTAGTGCTATAAATTTTCCTCTACACACTGCTTTAAATTTGTCCCAGAAATTCTGGTACGTTATCTCTTTGTTCTCATTGGTTTCAAAGAACTTCTTTATTTCTGCCTTAATTTCGTTATTTACCTAGTAGTCATTCAGGAGCAAGTTGTTTAGTTTCCATGTAGTTGTGCGGTTTTGAACGAGTTTTTTAACCCTGAGTTCTAATTTGATTGCATTATAGTCTGAGAGACTGGTATGATTTCTGTTCTTTTGCATTTGCTTAGGGGTATTTTACTTCTAATTATATGGTCAATTTTAGAATAAGTGCGATGAGGTGCTGATAAGAATATATGTTCTGTTGCTTTGGGGTTGAGAGTTCTCTTAGGTCTGCTTGGTCCAGAGGTGAGTTCAAGTCTTGTGTATCCTTGTTAATTTTCCGTCTCGTCCGTCTGTCTAATATTGACAGTGGGGTATTAAAGTCTCCCACTATTATTGTGTGGGAGTCTAAGTTTCTTTGTAGGTCTCTAAGAACTTGCTTTATGATTCTGGATGCTCCTGTATTGGGTACATGTATATTTGGGATAGTTAGCTCTTCTTTTTGCATTGATCCCTTTACCATTATGTAACATTCTTCTTTGTCTGTTTTGGTCTTTGTTGGTTTAAAGTCTGTTTTATCAGAGACTAGAATTGTAACCCCTGGTTTTTTTTTTGCTTTCCATTTGCTTGGTAAATATTCCTCCATCCCTTTATTTTGAGCCTATGTATGTCTTTAATTTGTTTTTAAAATTATTATATCCATCCTACTGAGTATAAATTGGTTTCTTGTTGTGGTTTTGATTTGCATTTCCCTGATATGACTAATGATCTTGAGCATTTTTTCATGTGCTTATTGGTCGTTTGTATATATTCTTTTGAGAAATGTATATCTAAGTCTTTTACCCCTTTGAAAATTTGAATTGTCTTTTTGTTGTTTAATTGTAAGAATTCTTTATGTATTCTGGTTACCAGACCCTCATGAGATATAGGATTTGAAAATCGTTTTCTCTCATTGTATTGATTGTCTTTTCACTTTCTTGATGGTGCCCCTTGACATGCAAAAGTTTTGACTTTTATTAAAAATGGTCCTGGGCATGGTTGCTCACACCTGTCATCCCAATGCTTTGGGAGGCTGAGGTGGGAGGATTTCTTGAGGCCAGGAGTTTCAGATCATCCTGGGCAACATAACTGGACCCCATCTCTACAAAAAATTAAAGAAAAAGTTTAGCTAAGAATATAGTTGTGTGCCACAATTCCTCAACTAAGAGCATAGGTGTGTGCCATAGGTACTCAAGATGCTGAGGCAGGAGGATCGCTTTAGCCCAAGAGTTTGAGGCCTCAGTGAGTCAAGGTCACGCCACTGTGCTCAAGCTTGTGTGACAGAGCAAGAGGCTAACTCTAAGGGAAAAAAATGGGGTAAACTTACACTTTCCTTATTTGAAGTTTTAACTCCTTAAAACCCTGTTGAATTACTGATACATCTATTATGTAACTTAAGAGTTGATGCAATAAAACTTAGTTAAGGAAATATTTCCCTGGGCGATGGAGCTCTTGCGAGTCCTCTTCTATGTTTTGTTCATCTTTATGCCAGTCAGTTATACAGTTCTTTTGTGTCAAGCAGAGGATAGAATAATAAACCAAAACACTGCTTAGGCCTTTCAGAGAGTAAGTGTTCTGTAAATGTATTTCATAAATTACTGAATTATTTTTATTAAATGATGGAAAGGAAAATCTTGACCTCTCTTTTTCTGGGTGTTGGCTAGTATAAATCTTTCTTGAAGTGATAATCTACATCTATGTTTTGATTTCTAAGGATTTCCCAAATATAAGCTATATACAAGTGAGAGGAAATAATAACTTAGGTACCTAATGATAATATGACAAGATAAGTATAAGGATCAGCTATTTGTTGTGAAATAGGAATGGATATAATTTAAATATGAATACCTTTTTGCTGTTTAATCCCCCAAATTTTCTTTTGATTTCTTTTAAAATTCTTTTGTGGTAGGTAGGTTTATTGTTTGTTAAGAATTAACTTAAGGGTTGCATTTTTTCTGATACATTTTTAAGTAACACAAAGTAACACAAAGTTTAACTTCTGTTTAAAAACAGCATATAGAGTACATTGAAAGACCTCAGTATTTTCGAAATGTTTAGTAAGTAATAGCAGTTTCCTTAAATGATATTTTAATCCTAGGTAAGTGTACAGGTAGGTTGTGTTACTCATATTTTTATATCCTTAGTGAAATAAAATTCTTGTTTTTTTTTTTTGAGACCGTGTCTGACTCTGTTGCCTTGGCTAGAGTGCAGTGGCATGATCTCAGCTCGCTGCTACCTCTGCCTCACAGGGCTCAAGCCATCCTCCCACCTCAGCCTCCTGAGTAGCTGAGACCCACAGGCACGAGCCACCGTGCTCTATTATGAGCCACCACACCCAGCCTAAAATTCGTTTTCTTTAATATTTTTTCTTTCTACACCCACAGCTGTAACATTTCCCTTAGTTTTTGCTTTGAATGTGCATACTCTTACACGACTTACAGTATGGCTATATTTTCAGTTTGCTAGAGCTTTACAATTAATTTAAAACATGAAAGGCTAATTAAGGGAATTCTTTAAATTTTGTTTTAATAGTGAAAGCAAGTTGAATACATTGGTGCAGAAGCTTCATGACTTCCTTGCACACTCATCAGAAGAATCTGAAGAAACAAGTTCTCCTCCACGACTTGCAATGAATCAAAACACAGGTAAATTGAAAAAGAATGTGCTATACCTTCTAGTCTTTTTTCAATTTTTTTTTTTTTTTTTAACACTTATGGAGGTAACCATTTATTTTATTCAGGGAGCAGCTTTTAGAAGATTACAGTTTGTGAAAAATGACAGATTAGCAAGCTTTATGGAAGTCCCTATTATGTATCTTAGCTATATCTGATATAGGAGATTTTAATTTTGGTGAGTATGACTATAGAAAGCTTAGAAAAGGAAGCACTTATGGTTTTATTTGTAATGGAAATGTGTTATAGAATGGCTAGTCAATGTTGATGGTGAAAAAATAATATTAGAAGAGGCAGGAGTAGTACAGGAATGTTTTATCCTAGCAATTATTCATGTATTAGGAGTTAAATTTTTATTTTTATTTTTGTGATGGAGTCTCGCTCTGTCACCCAGGCTGGAGTACAATGGCATGATCTTGGCTCACTGCAATTTCCGCCTCCTGGGCTCAAGCTGTTCTCTTGCCTCAGCCTCCTGAGTAGCTGGGATCACAGGCATCTGCCACCATGTCCGACTGATTTTTGTATTTTTAGTACAAGCTGGTCTGGAACTCAAGTGATCCGCCCTCACTGGCCTCCCAAAGTGCTAGGATAACAGGCATGAGCCATCGCACCCAACATAAGAGTTAAATTTTTATGTTGTTTGATAATATCCCTGAGTAGATGTGGTGTATTTATTTTTTTAAATAAAACCACTTAACACCTCCTCTCTACATCCCTGTCTCTGTCTCTCTTTAAAAAGATTTTTTTGTTTTTTTTAGAGACGAGGTCTTACTCTGTCACCCAGACTGGAGTGTAGTGGTGTGATCATAGCTCACTGCAGCCTCAAATTCCTTGGGCTCAAGCAATCTTCTCACCTCACCCTCCCCAGTAACTGGGAGTACGGGTGTGTGCCACCATGCCTGGTTAATTTTCAAAAAAAATTTTTTAGAGACATGGTCTTGCTATGTTGTCCAGACTGGTCTTGAACTTCCTAGCCTCAAATGATTCTCCTGCCTCAGCCTTCTGAGTAGCTGAAATTATAAGCAAGAGCCGTTGTACCTGGTTCCCTTTTTTAAAAAACATTTTGTATCATGCAACAGTTAGCATTTTCAGGTTTTCAAGGGTAACTACAATACACATGCACACAGACACACACGATATGTACAAAAAAAGTATAAGAGAGTTATAGTGAAAAGTTCAACCATATGTGTAATTAGAGTTCTAGAAGGAAGAAAGAAAATTGGTTAAAAGTCCAATTTGAAGAGATGCGGGCTGAGCATTTTCTAAAAAGTGATGAAAGACATCGAACTAGAGATTCAAGAAGTTTTGTGAACCCTGAGCAGGATAAATATAAAGAAAACTACAGCTAGGCATGTCATAGCAAAACTCCTAAAGAACATAAACCAAGAGAAAAATCTCTTAAGTAGCCAGAGGAAAAAAAAATATTATTTTCAAAGGAATAACAGTAACACTGGCAGCTCACTTAACAACAGAAATGATAGAAGGCAGATGAAAACGAAATGATTTCTTTAAAATGTCAAAGAAAAATACAGTCATGCATCACTTAACTATGGGGATATGATTTTTTGAGAAAGCATTGTTGGGTGATTTTGTCATTGTGCAAACATTATGGAGTGTACTTACATAGGCTACTACACATGTAGGCTATATGTTATAGCCTGTTGCTCATAGGCTACAAACCTGTGCAGCATGTTGTTGTACTGAATACTGTAGGTAATTGGAACACAATGGTAAATATTTGTGTATCTAAACACATGGAAACATAGAAAAGGTACAGTAAAAATACAGTATTACAATCTTATGGGACCACCGATGTATATATATGGTCAGTCATTGAGTGAAATGTCTTTATGCAGCATGTGATTGTAATTGCCAGCATAGAACTATATATTCAGTGAAAACATCTTTCATAAATGAAGGGTGGAATCAAGCCATATCTGGGCAAACAAAAAGTGAGAACTTGATGTCAACAAACCTACACTAGAATGGAATAACTATACTACAGGAAATTACAGGTTTTCTGAAATGAGAAGGAAAATAATTTGAAATGGCAACACCAAAATACAGAAAGTAATGAATAAGAATGGGAAAGCTAAATAGGTTGGTAAAGTAAATAACATAAAGTTATTTAAGCCACAGTCCCCGTTCTTATGTGATCAATTCCCCCAGTAATGTTCATAGATAAGTTTTTCCCCCTTAAATTCAGGATCAAGTTCAAGATTTAGTAGTCATGTTTCTTTGGTCTTTTAAAAATCTGAAGCAGTTTGTCTGCCTTTTGGGACTATGACTTTTTTTTAAACGTATAGGTGTATTACTTTGTCGAATGGCCCTCGGGATTATCTGTTTAGTTATGATTAGATTCAGGTTATATATTTTTGGCAGGAATACTATATAAAGTGATGTTCTGTTCTCCATGCATCCTATTACATGGCACATGATGTGATTTGCTCCTTTACTAGTGATATACTTAGGTTGTTTGGTTATGGTTGTGTTTGCTAGATAAACCCAGTATAAAGTTATGATGTATTCCATTGTAACTAATAACTAATTTAATGGGGGCACTTTGAGATTACTAAGGTATTCTTTTTATTATCAAAACTTAACTCAGTTATGTTTTCTTTTGCAAATGACCACAAACTTTGCAGCTTAAAGTAACCCAGATTTGTTATTTTACAGTTCTGTAGGTTCGGAGTCCTTTGGGCCTTGCTGGACCCTTCTCAGGGTATCACAAGGTCAAAGTCAAGATGTTAGTAGGACTAGATTCCTTTCTGGAGACTGTAGAAAAATCCATTCCTAAGCTCATTCAGGTTGTTGGCAGAATTCAGTTCCTTATGATGATAGGTTGGAGGTCCTTCTTTCTTACTCACTATTGGGCAGGACCCCCTTCTAGCTCTTTTCAGGTGTCTTCATTTCTTCTCACATGATGCCCTCCATCTTCAAAACTGGCAACAGCACATCAAGTCTCTCTCAAGCTTTGAAGCTCTTTGGCTTAGCTTTTTGCTTGCTAATTCTGCAGCCACCTGATACCAGCTGGAGAAATTTTTCTGTTTTTAAGGATTCATGTGATTAGATTAGGTCCCCCTCCCTCTCATCTCCTCCTGGTTATCTATCGAGTTTAAGATCAACTGTGCTATATTACATAACACAGTTATGGGAGTGATATGTCATCACATTGATCGTTTCTGGGGATTAGTGGTGTAGAATCTTGTGGGCCATTCCTAGAAAGTCTGTTTATCACAGCACACATTTGTGATTCTTAGCTGAATAATTTATTCCTATGATGGGTTCAAAATGATGATGTTCTAATCTGTCTTTCCTTCTGTGTTTATGAGTTGATATATTATTGTGAAGGAGGGGTTCATGTTCTAACCTATTCAGTTATTTGTATCAGTATGTACTTACAATTTTTCCATGAATATTCTCTGTCATTTGTTTTGATGCTCAAATTGTATCAGTTTTGGCTAGTAGGAACCCCATCTGGATGGCTCCTGCTGACTTTTTTACAAGTCCTCATCATTTCTTGAACACTTTCTTTCTTTCTGTCCCCTCAAAGTATTCAAGGCTTGCTTTCCATTTGCTGTTCCCCAGCCCCAGAATCAGTTATTTTTCACAGGAGTTCTGGGATATAGTGTTTGGAAATCAAGATCAGGGTGTGTGATGTGCTCATTGCCACCAAGATGTCTTTGTTTCCAAGCTCTTTCACAGAGAAAGCTAATAATATGTTTTATATTTTCATGAGTTGATACTGATACTTTTAATTTTAATTCAATTCCACAGTCTTCTTTCTAGACTTCCCCTTTTCATATTTTTAACTTCTTTCTCCAACAGAAAGAAACCTGGTTCCTATTATCCCCAATTTATTTATTTTTATGTTTTTATTTATTTATTTTTGAGATGGAGTCTCACTCTGTTGCCAGGCTGGAGTGCAGTGGTGTGATCTCAGATCACTGCAACCTCCGCCTCCCAGGTTCCAGCGATTCTCCTGCCTCAGTCTAGCGAGTAGCTGAGACTACAGTCACACGCCATCACACCCAGCTAATTTTTGTATTTTTAGTAGAGTTGGGGTTTCACCATGTTGGCCAGGATGGTCTTGATCTCTTGACTTCATGATCTGCCTGCCTCGACCTCCCAAAGTGCTGGGATTACAAGTGTGAGCCACTGCGCCTGGCCTATCCCCGATTTATTTATTTATTTATTTTTATTTTTTATTTTCTTGAGATGGAGTCTCGTTCTGTCACCCAGGCTGGAGTGCAGTGGCACCATCTCAGCTCACTGCAACCTCCGCCTCCTGGTTTCAAGCGATTCTCCTGCCTCAGCCTCCTAAGTAGCTGGGACCACAGGTGCGCACCACCGTGCTCAGCTAATTTTTATATTTTTAGTAGAGATGGGATTTTGCCATGTTGGCCAGGCTGGTCTGGAACTCCTGACCTTAGGTGATCCACCTGCCTCAGCCTCCCAAAGTGCTCTGATTACAGGCGTGAGCCACCAAGCCCGGCCTTCCCCCAATTTATTTGTATTCATTTGTCTAGTCCTCATTGTACCCACAGTTTCAGAATTGTTAACCATACCATCACATTAAAGAAATGTAACTATAGTTCCGTATTTGTTTAAAGTTCTTTTTCTCTTTAGAATAATGTTATGTTGTTGGAGTCCTGTGTTCACTAGTTGAGGAACTCCTTCAGTAGTGGTATCTCCAGTTGTACAAACAGATGTCACTCACAAATACCAATTATAAATTCTGGGCAGCATACTGAAGGCTAGATATCAACAAAGTAGATAAACTGGAGGGGAGTTAACACATGGAAGAAAGAAGTGGCAATGACTGAATTCCCCATTATTAATCCTTTTTGCTTCAGCCAAGGATCCACTTAGCTCCATCTGTGGCACTTAAGACTTGGATAAAAATCTATAGTCTTATTGGATGTGAAATCAAGGAAAAGATTTAGTGAGACCACAGCAGCTGTAACATGAGT